TCAGGCCTTTGAGTGTAGGAGTTGGGACGTTATGTTGAAGTTGTACAAGTTGTAGCTCAAAAGAAAATCAGAGGGAATTTAGGAGTGGAATTTAGAAGAATATGGGGAGGTCTATAAAATTCTAACAGGATTAGATGGGTGAACATAGAAAGGATATTCCCGATGACTAGGCAGTCCAGAATCAGAGGGTACAGTCTAAGGATACAGGGTAGGCCGTTTAAGACAGAGATAAGGACTTTCTTCACCCAGAGTGTGGTGAGCCTAGGGTTTTCTCTGCCACATGTCATGACCCAACATCATGGGGGTTGTAAGAGATCCAGTTATCATCATCTATGAAGCTGAGTGCAAGGGATCCGGCAGATGGACATAGGATTAGGGGTCCCTGAAATCAGGACGAATAGCGAAGAGGATGAATATCCGCAGCAACTGGCATTGAGCTTTGAGTAGGAGACAGGCAGAGGATTGGAACAAGGAGGCAGGAAAGCAGAAAGCATTGTGCTGTGCTGATGAAGCAACAATCAGGACATATCGCTGACCGAGTGCCACAGGAGATTCACCTACCTGGGCAGGCAGTCACTGAGATTTAAACAGTTCCTGCAGAAGACCACGTACCTTATAGCAGTTCTCACAGGGCCTTGCCCACAGCCATCAAAGTCAGCGCAGCTAGGAACCTCTTCACTTCTTATTCCTCCTGAGGATTAACAGCAGAGTTTGGCATCTTGCAGGCAGCAAAACACCAGTGGATACCGCAGCTTCCTAACCTGCTCTTTGCCAGAACTTGACATCGCATTCGATTTCAAACAGACGGGTCTTGGCACAGATAAAGATCATTGGATTTCACCTCCATCACTGGATTTGCGTGAGTACAGAGCATCATCACTCAGACCCATGCGGTGATCAAGCCAGCCAGCCAGATTGGTCAACAGCAAGGGGCTTCCACTCCCCTGAGTTTCAGCTGGTGCGTGGCCACAGCAAGAGCTTTGTGCATGTGGGCACCCACTACCCCAGGTGCTGCCGTGAGGACTTTCATTGTGTCGCAGCCCAGGGTGCCTCACATTTCCATGCCATGACCCAAACCGTCCTGAATGGTTTTCCAGGGGACGAGAGACAACTGAAGCCGTCTGCTGACAAGGTCCTCCCCCTATCAGGACATCCAGCTTTGAAAAATGCCAATCCACTGTCTGATCATCTGGGTGACATTCTGAAGTCTGTGTACTGCAAAGGGCTTTGTTCATTGTGGTGATCTGCTGCGCTCTCCAGATAGATTTGAGCCTTGAGGAGCGTGAGTCACTGGAATGACACAGCTCACTACAGGAGGAAGATGCAGAGCAGAGCAGTGCCCAGGCTGTGCCAGAGGTGACTGAGGCTTCACATATCCAGAGCAGGGCTCAATGGTCTCATCAGGATGTAATCAACATCAGAGAGCATCCAATTCAGGCACATTTCACCCATTCCAGCAGGACTGCATGCTCCGCAATTCACTTTGAACCATCCCGGTGAGCACACCCCTTGGAAAAAAAAAAAGTCACTCTCACCACAATTGCCTTATGAATATCGATGAGTAATCTCAGTACATCCCTTTGCAGATCGCTTTATCCTTCTTTTCTATAGTTTTGCCATTCGGCAACAGAAGCTCATACTTCCAGAGTCATGAGGCAAGATTTGCAATGTTAGCAAAAAGTAGCAAAATGCCTGTTAAGAAGTGAAATAAACGCGCTGCCCCCCATGCAATGCCAGGTGAGGTGGAGGCAGCCAATTTGAGTTTGAGGTTTGTGCTTGAGGTTAAGATGGGCACGGGGGTTATCCTTTCCATGGAGGTATTCGCGTGAAGATGTTTCTCAGCTGAAGTGGATGGGTGTTTGGGTGGATGTAGATGATGCTGCCTCCAGTGGGAGGATTTTTCTTCATCTCCATCAGTGACTGTGCCAGCGATTGGAAAGCAGTGAAGCAGGCTGGGGTGCAGCATCAGCTGAGCCATGACTGACACCTACTCCATTCAGTTTCACTTCATCAGCATCGCTGAGCAGTCCACACTCCACTGTGTTACATGCTGGGAATGTCATGGTTGTCCATGGAGCTGGGCTGTCTCTCAGTGGAGTGTTCAGGTATTCAAAGCTCTGAGCCATGCTGGTCCACAGACTGAACTTCTTGTCCCTGAACACTGCACTACCATGGCAAACTGTGTCATGTGTGAACATGACTGGCGCTGCTGGTCAAAATGGAGTCTCCTTCCTTGTAAGGCCAAGGTCCTGCATCTGCATCCAGTTGAACATGCCTGCCCCTCCTAGGGGCACTGCTCAAAGTTGCCTTACCTTCCTGCTCACTGGTGCTATCCCTGCCCTTTCTAACCATGTACAAAGACCCACAGAGGTGAGTGTGTTTACATAGATGGAGGATGGGCTTGTATGATGTGACAGTGCGGATGTTGCTGTCTCAGATGCTTACAATGCCCAGGCTGGAGTGGCTGTCCTTTGTTGCTCGCCTTCCAAGACAGATAGGCAGTGGCACAAGAAGATCATGAGAAATAGAATTAGAATTAGATTTTATTGTCACATGTACTGAAGTTCAGAAGTACATGAATACAATGAAAAGTTTACAATGTTGCCATTCCTGGCGCTATCTTAGGCACAAAGGTACCTAGGTACAAAGTAGGAAAATAAAGAAACAGCGTTAAAAGTTAAATATTCAGTTCTTCTTAGTATTAAGTAGAAAAACAAAAAAATAGAGTTAAAAGTTCAACAGTCTTTCTTAAAGTGCTTAGCTATGCTGGGCTTGCAGTCCCCACAAGGCCTCGAACTCCTTCACTTTGGCCCACTCTCTGAGGGAGCTCAGGCTGCCTGCTCACAATGCTGGAGGACCTCCCTCACCGTGGCGTTGGGCTCAATCTCCGACCATCAAAGTCCCGATCCAGGCCCCCAGTTGCTGCCACGCTCCAGACCCGACAAAACCGCAATGTTACCTTGTCCGGAATGTAAGTAAGGAGAAAAATAAACTAAAAAACTTTTCTAAGAGAAAGGGAAGATGAGAAAAGAAGAAAAGAAAGAAATAAAGAAAAGTGGACGGAGTGGACGAGCCGACCCTGCTGCTCCCTCCTGGAAGATAGCCTGTGACAGCAGAAACTCTGCAGGCTCTGGACTTGCCAATGCAGTTCAATCTTTGGAGTATTTTCAGAGAGCGAAGAGTGCAATCCTCTCCATTCACCCAGAGATCTCGATCTCTCGTCCTCTCCTCCAGGTAGTCCCATCTTTCTATCTCCTACTCAGCCCTGCAGGGCTACTTATCACCGCTCTATCTGTTGGAGTTTAGGTGCACAGCTGGAGTATTCTCCTCTTGTGTCTGTGCTTTCCCACAAATTGTGTGCCTTGTCTCCTGCAATGACAAAACAGAGAGAGCTAACCCCCTTGCTGGCCTCTTTGAACATGGCTCATGTATATAAGAAACCATTTGTGTTGCAGGTCCTCAACAGTGAAAAGGCTCTGGCATTGGAGAAGGGTCAGTAAGCAACCCGAGCACATATTTCTCAAATGTAAAGGAGCAGCAGGCATCCTTAGGCCGCTGAGCTGGTGTGCCTACTGCAGGTTCAAGTCCTGGATGAGGGTCACCTTGCCACAGCGAAGAAGATTTTCCGATGTTTTATGACAGCGCAGCCAGTCCCTCCACGTCACACTTCTGCTGCCTCTGATCTCGGCAACCCCTGGAGACCTGCTTTGTGTGGTTGGATGACTGACCCCAGCAGCTCCATTGAACAGGACCTCCCTCCTCTAGCTAACAGCACCCAGGAACACCTCGAGGGCTGCATTAATAAAACGTGGCTCTGCCCACCTTCCACCTCTCTGCCTTGCCTGCAGGCAGACTGGAGCTTGCAACGCTAAATCTAAATGGCTGCCACAAATGCAGCAGCCAATTGTACCTTTTATTTGGGCCCACACTTTCAGAGAACCACCTCCATAAACATCCACTGCTACTAATTGGCCACGTCCATCGAGGAAGGTCATGGATTGTGACTGCTCCTCCTCTGACCCCAGCCCTGTGCAGGGTCAGGACTGGTAATTCTGATATTGATTTGCTGACCTTGGGAGCAAAATCCTTCCCTCAAGCAGTACACTTTGATGTGACTCAAATAATTGTGGTGTATTTGTAAACAAATGGAGGAAAGACACATGTTCACAAAGTGGAAGTATCTTTGGTATTTCACTATTTTTCAGAGTGCATCGGTGGAGTTTACAATTTAGTCAGCTCCATTAGTTACAGCCATTGAGTTCATGTGCTAATTAATAAAACAGAGAGGAAATGGCTGCTTGCATTTGTAAGACACTGCATGATTATTAAAGTGATCTGATAAAATATTCATGATTCACAATTTCAGTTAGATGAATTGTTAAGACTTTCAGCTTCACGAACACATTAAATGTTAGAAAAGTTCAGAGCCGGACACTCTTTGAATTTGTGTATTTAAAGCTATTATGTAAAATATAATTTATCATTCATGTGACAATGAGGAGAAAGAAGGTAGAAAGCTGAATTAATTGCTTCCAACAGGTGGCTGAATAGTCTTGAACTCAGAATATTCCTGTTATGAAAGTGCAGTACAATTTGAAAGTGTGTAGAAAGTGGTATTACTCAAAGATATTTGATGTATTTTCATACAATACATCTGGTAACACCAGCAGATAAGGGCTTTATCCAGAAACACAGGTGGGTAACCCTTGTCTGGCTTATGGGGCACCTTATCTTTTTAATATGCATTGGAATTTGTCAATCACAGGTGTGGAATAATCTAAGTTCTTGTACTCCTTGCCAGTGTTTTGAAGTTTGAGCAGCGCACACTGCTGTTGGCACTAACATGAAGAGGCTCAGATTATGTTTAAACACGTTGTATTCAAACGAATTCACCACACACACGCACACGCGCGCGCGCGCACACACACACACACAAAGTACTTTTGCTCATATAATGACTTCTCTGTTGCTAATGTGGCCTTGGCCTTTTGCCTTTGCAGCCCCCAGTGAGCCTTTGCTTTGCAAATTTGCTGATGGAGGGCAGAAGAAAAGACAGAATCAAAGCAAATATACGCAAAATGGAAGGCCGTGGCCCAGAGAAGGAGAGGTGAGTTATTGTCTAAGTCTACATTTCTAAGAAACAAAAGTTTGGAAGGTCAGGTTCTGGGAAATTCTTCAGCTATGTTACCCTCCGCAGTCTGGCTGAAGGAATATTTGTTATGATGAATGTACAAATAAGGGAAGGCAGCGGCTAATCCAGTGCACTAATAATTAGGCTATTGACTGAACCATTTCTGGAATTCTATCACCAACATTGATAAATTAGAACCCATGAGAATCACTGTGCAGATTCACTTTTCCAGCTAATGTCCTTAATGACAATTAGCTTCTGCTATTCTGCTTGAGAATGAAGGGAGGGACACTGGCCCAGCTGACCAGATACATCAGATCTTCTTGAAAGGAAACTGCATACTGCAACTGGATTATCTAAAGTGAGGTAAGTTGCAACATTTTCCCGTATTTGAAACAGCCATTCTACGCATTATGATCATTTCCAATACCAATCATCCTGGAGCATACACTTTTGCATAAAACAAAATTAAGATTTTCCTTTGGCCTCAGATGAGCTTCCTGTTATGGAAAAACTAAAGATCTGCCTTTGAGGGAATTTATTTAAATAAAACATATAAAGACAGGAACAGGAACAGGAACCAAATGACCAATTTTTTAAGGTTTTTTTTAAGGTATTGCAAGCCAATGATGCTGTCTTGTCTTTCAGCATCATTTATATTACTGCCTGTCTCCTCATGAACAAACAACAGAAGTTTTCCAAATGCTCTTTCTCAATGAATAGGGACTTTTAAAATATTCTTATTTCCCAAAATAAGCAGCAATATAGAATTATTTTCATTGTTAAAATGAAGTCACTATTTTCTGTGACCTGAAATATGACAAATTATTTTGTATTCACCCAACATGAATTCTGAAGAGTACTTTTCATTGGACTTAAATAACCTCTTATATCTTCACACATGCAAGGGGGTCCAGTGTCACCTTTGCTTCAGGACCTTTAATTTGAGTCCACTTCTTGGGGATGACACACAAATCTTATCCCTGGTAACAGTTAAGGTCCCTAACTGAAATATATTTTAGCAAACTTCATCTGGTTCCAGTTGATCACAAATGCATTGTTAACACCAAATTTTATCAATGTTTCTTATGACATTCTAAGTTTCTTTGTATGTACCAGCATATGTCTACAGGATGTTTGACCATGAGGCATCAGAACGATACCCAACCCTCTTTTCCTGTCGCGCCCACTGTATCTATTTTCCAATAAAAATTAATGAAGAATGACCAGGAACAGGAATCTTACTGATATTTCTGTTTTCCCAAGCCCAGAGGCAACATTAACCATCTTAGCCTTCACACTGCTGTCCTCCATGACCAGAGATTGAACCTGAAGCCATCTGGTTTTTGTAGCTAATTTATTAAGTTTAAAGTATGTTTTTCTCCAGTTTTAAACAGCATTGTGTACACGTTGCAAGGGCTCCAGTTACTGCAGCAGAATTATTTAACTTGGTGCCACCTAGTGGAGCTTGTCTTACACTGCCTGCTTGGATGTGCTCATTTTAGTCTCTGTCTGAAACTAACCCAGCTTCAGGCCATGGTTCTGTGATCTGGGAGTTTAGGGAGAGCTGTTGAGGAATGCTTGTAATTTGTTAATCTGAGGCACATGCAGTTTACGGGTAACAGCTTTGTTTTTAGACAAGATAATATGGTTAGCCTGCAATGTGGCTGTTAACCACTGTCGTGAGAATCTTTGCCAAAACGAAACATGTAAGCAGATTTCACAAAATAACCTCTGTATGCAGTTCAGTTTGGTTGTGCTCTTAAAGGGACTGTCATATTACTCCTTAAAAATTGTTATGGGTGAGGAGGATGTGGCAATTTGGCATTGTTTACAGGAACAATATAAGAGACAATACATTCATAACAGTTTCGAAAAGCTGAGATTTTCATGTGGTAGTTGTGCATTTATTTTTAATGTTTGGTTTTTCCTCCTCCACATGACTGTAATTACTTTCTGCCAAAGAGGCAGACAACAGCTCCCCAGCTTGTGTTTTCTAGCGCATATCTCTGCTGGGATAGAGGAGGCTATTTGGAATCTCAAATCTGTTCTCTCAGTCACTTGCATTGTGGTTAATCTGTAGCCCATCTCCTGTTTCATGTCTTTATTCCATATCCCTTGGCACACCAACCCAACAAGAATCTATGAATCCAGCCTTGAAAATTTTAGTTGATCCTCAGGATATGTAGCTTTTCAGGGATCTTGTTCCAAATTTCCAATACCCTTTGGATGAAAAACTACTTCCTAAAGTCTGAGGTGGTGCTTCAATTTTCAACATTATTAATTATGTGTGATGGAATATATGTTGATGATCAAAAGGCATTAATTTGGGACTTCTGTTCAACTTGGCAGGATAGTATATCAGGTTTAAAATCTTTAACAGAAATGTGCAAATCTTAAACATCAAACAGCTTGAAATTTGTAGGCGAACAGCCATCTCCAGTTGTTTTCAGCATTTCAGTCATACTACACTGTATACAACATTACTCAGTGCGTTTTTTTTTGCAATTTGGAATGGATCGAGCATCTACAAAAATGATAAAGCAGACCATAATATGGCCTCTGCCCAAGCAGTGCCACTTTAAAACCTCGTACATGATGTGCTTACCATCTTGCATATGGTGGTTTCTCAAATGAACGATCATTTTCGATCCTCAGGTACAGTTCTGAACAGAGTTTATGAGCTGAGCCAAAAGGCGTGAGTACAGAACATTGCAGAAAACCAACGCAGAATCTGGAAGCATACTGGTGTTGCTCACAACAGCATGACAGATTTGACGACTGTTCCTTTTGCCTGATTGCAGAAGGCCAGTTAGCAAAGGATAAAGTAAAAAGATTACAAACTAGTTTTTTTGTTGACGGACTATCTCTGCGCTGGCAGGACGATGAGCCTGCCTGGCAGCCCTTTACATCCCAAGTGGTAGCAGCTAATTTATTTTTTTTTAAACAATGCCCAGAACCTGATACTTAAAGGTATTCTGATTATATTGCATTCAGAATATTTTAGGTTTCAGTGACCGGGTAGAAAATACATCTCAAGTCATCAGGAAGCTTGTCATCACAGTGTTGCAGTAAACAACATGCTGTACTCCCACTCAGTTAGTAATGACTAGCCAAACTGAATTTTCAAGATAAAATAGGATGTTGTTTGCAGTCCTTTAAAAGGTGTTCCTGCCAGATTAATTGAATGGATTCTGCTCAGAAAACCCTTGCAGGAACTTTGAGTAACTATTTCAATTTAAATAAAAGAGGAAACTTTTTGCCCCTAATTTTTACAAAACTGCTTGCCCTTGAATATCAAGCAGGCTTTGCACAGTTCTTTTGTTGCTTCTCACATGCCCACCCACGAGATGTTTACAGAGTGTTGAACCCCAATCAATCCCAAATAGAGTACTCAAATTGCAATTAGCAATGTTTAGCGAATATGTAAAAAGATAATTTGTCAATTTTAATACAAATTACGATACTCATAGTCTGGGTATTAGCAAACATTTGGACGATGTTTATATTGATTTACAAATTTCAGTGGTGACACATCATCATTATAAAATAATGGAAAATAAACATTCATTAAGCAAATAATTGGTACAGTGCAGAATAGTTGTTGCTGTGTTTTGTTATGACTACATATCATGCTCCATGGCATTCTGCCAATTATTAGCCATGACTCAGTGTTGCACTCTCACCTGAGCCAGTAGGTTATGGGTTCCAGTCACATTTCAGAAATCCAAACACCAATTCTTGGCTTAAAAACTCAATGCTGTGCTGAGAGACCTCCATCAGATGTGCCATCTTCAAATGCAGGTCCTGTCTGCCCAGTGAAGTAGCCCATGACAGTATGTGTAAGAAGGAGCGGTGGCTCAGTAGTTAGCACTGGTGCCTCACAGCACCAGGGACCTGGTTTCGAATCCGACCTCGGATATTGCCTGTGTGGAGTTTTTACATTCTCCCTGTGTCTGAGTGGGTTTTCTCTGGGAGTTCTGGTTTCCTCCCACAAGATATGCCAGGCTAAATTGCCCATAGTGTCCATGGATAGGTGGGTTAGCCATGAGAAATGCAGAGTTACAGGGATAGGATAGGGGGTGGGTCTGGGTGGGATGCTGTTCAGAGGGTTGGTATGGACTTCATGGGCTGAATGGCCTGTTTCCACACTGTAGGGATTCTACAATATTGAAGAAGAGCCTTAGAGTGTGCTGGTCAATATTTATTCTACAGCCAACAACAGTGAAGCAGATTATCTGGTTATTATTTTATTTCTGTTTGTGGATCTTGATACATGTGAATTGGCTGCCACTGCATGCTAAAAACGATTAACCTTCAAGCTCAACTGGATCTAAAATGCTTCTGCACCTGAGAACAGAAGAAATAGGAGCAGGAGAAGGCCAATGTAGAGAATGAGAATGAGTAGTTAATAGTGGATAATAAGGAAATGGTGGATGCAATGAATAAATATTTTGCTTCTGTCTTCACTGTAAAGGATAGAAACAACATCCCAGTGAGAGTTGTAAAACAAGAGCTGGCAGAGAGAGGGTCGTAGAAACATTACAGTCAATGGGGAAGAAAACATGTGGAGCTACATGCTGCAAGTCCCTGGTGCTGATGGACTTCATTCTAGGGTCTATAAAGAAATGCCTGTTGAGGTAGTACATGCATTAGTGTCAATTTTCCAAAATTCCCTCCTTTCAGATAAGATTCCATTGGACTGGAAGGTACCAAATATTAGTTGTCTATTCAAAAAGGAAAGAGACAGAGAACATGAAACTACAGACCAGTAAGCTTGATGTCTGTCATAGGGAAGCTGTTTGAACTGGTCCTCAAAGAGGTTATAGCTGAGCACTCTGAAAATATCAAGGTAATCAGGACATGCTAAAGTGGCTTTGTGAACGGGAAATCATGTTTATCCAGTTTATTACAGTTCTTTGGAAGGGTAAAATGTGTTGTGGATGAAGGGGAGCCTGTAGACGTATTGTACTTGG